TTAAATCGAGTTTCCACTGTAATACAATATGTCAACTTCTATAATTTTTGTTTGACAGGTGGTGAAAAATGTGAGCCTCACAGAATAGAACTGACGCTCGTAAATGAAACGTGGACACGGTCTTTGTTAAACAGGGATTCTATTGAGTTCAGGACCTTGGAATATACCATTCTTTTAGCAGTACGTACATAGTAAATTATGTAGATGCAAGGTGTTACGTTTTTTTCAGGTATCCCGTAAGCGTCATGATCAAACTCACTAAAGAAAGGTTTGAACGTCATTTCAAGTCAATAGCTGTCGATGCAAAGTCTTTTAAACCACAAGCTGCCTCTCTCTCCTGGAATAGCTGATTGCATGATTCAAAAGGAAGAAGCGTTTAAATTACGTCTGCGTTGACTCAATGATTTTTCTTCTTTATTTAACATTAACGGGGGATTTCAGCTGGGAAGGAGGGGCTGTTTTCAGTCTAAAGTCTCTTTCAAAGTTGTTTTGGGGGATGTCACACAACAGTCCCACCAGAAGAAGCTCCTGTGAGGGAAGTAGTGGGTTACATTCTGATATAGTGCCAAGAAGTGAAGTAATCGTGGCTAGGCTAGACGTGGAAAAACCAACATTTTTTGTGCCAGTCAAATTTGGATGAGCACTTATCGCGCTTCAATTAGCTAGGCTGTGAAGGCACTGATCATATACCTTGTGCATGCTTGTGAAGGTACTCTTGTGCAATTTATAGAATACAGATAGTGATTTCAAAATAAGCTGCTTATTGCAAATAAATCCTTCTATAATTCATTTCTATGACATTCACCATGCTGATAGACAAAGTTCTTATTACCCTATCTGGCAAAACACAACTAGAATAATAATCCGTTCTATGTCTTTAGATCTGGAATGTTTACGCGCGACAGTCTGAAGAGGAGCTTTTAAAGGTGAAAGTTCTAGAATTCAGGTTGGTGCGATCTTTTTTGTCTTTAAACCGGATTTTTATTGAGGAATTTTGACCTTACATCGCTGTGTCTTACGTCTAGGAGTGCTGTTCTTATTCAGTTTTTATTTCCTCTTTATCTCGGTTTTAGGCCTGGTAGTGTCGTCGCCATTGTTGAGCTTATGTTTAGAAAATTGGCGAGTGACCCTTTGAAACCAATCCATGATGAAATTTCTAATGGAAGATTGTCTTCTTTCAAAGTTAATGCTGTTTTGGATGTTGATCCAACCGATCCAGCCACGACAACAAGTACGTAATAATACTCCTTTAAAACCTCTTTAATTTTCGAGGGGAAGTCCGTTGGTAGAGCTCGCCCTTTCTGTTAGCTATATCCATGTACAGTACCTGTGGTGCAGTCATAGCCCAAAACAGGCAAATAATTGACATTCAAGATGAGAACGTACGTAGCTGCTACAGGTCCTTCTCTAAAGAGCTTTTTAAAACTTGAACGTCCAACAATATATGAACGTACAGCGCTTACAGTTAAAAAGAAAAACCAAAATAAAACCAAAGAAACTGAGATAGCTCTCTGAAATAACGAGTATGAAAAGTTATTGAAAGACAAGTGAGAATCTGTTTGACCCTGAATTATCGAGAACTTGTCCTTAGGAAACTAAACTTCTTACGATGACTATCCAAAAATTTTAACTTTAATGGTAAATAGTTACTGTCTTTGCTCTGTAGGAAATCGCCTATGCATTCGAGGGGGCTATTCATGCCCTGTTCTCTAATTAGTTGCACGTCAATTCCTATTCTTTCTGGTTAATGTAAACGTTGCGTTTTAGAGTTTCATCCCTCAGTCACATATGAAAGATCGTTACTTTTTTAGGTTCCAATTTGATTAAGGATGGAACATTTCTTCACGTTGTGTATTCAAGTGTCATTTTCGTCCTTTCGATGATCTTCATTGTGGTGGTTATTTTGCTCTGGAGGAGGAGGCCTAATAATCCAGGTACTCCCCATTACGCTTTGAGGTGTTATATTATGCGTAGTTTGTTTTTCTGGCGGACTCCTTCAGTGTATAGGTTCTTGTTTGTCCGTTTTTAGTTGTTTTTGTGTACCTCAGTTAATCAAGTTTCAGGGTACCGAAGTATCGGAAACTTTTGCTGGTTTATTAATCAAGCAAAGTAGTTTTTACCCATTTCTCGTAAGAAATGGATAAACTGAGAATAATGTATATTTATTTCGTAGGTCCTTCGACTGAAAATAGAAGGTAGGTACAGACAGGATTCTTTTTGTAGCAAGGTGATATGTAGTTTCTACGTATAGTCATATACTCGCAAACATTTCGGCATGCTCACTGACGGAGAGAGCTCAATAGATAATCTTAAACAGAGCGGACGTTTGATGGATTTGACTGAAAAGTTGGAATTTTTGCCCCGCAACCGATTGAATTGATTTATTGTTTATTGTGAGCATGAAATGAAATTCTGCTATAAGGTTTCAGGGGGGTATGTGCACCAATTTCAGTATTTGAAATTCACTATTGCTCATATATTCCTTATTGCGTTGGCCAGATAACAAGTAAAGACTACAGTTTTCGATGCGAGGCCCTTCTCGAAAATTTGTCTATACAATGGAATATCGACACTCCATATTCTGCCGGGCTAACTCGAATTGAAAGTGATTCCATGGAGGTACATTTTTCACTCAGTTTCTATCAGTGAACTCGATCAGTCATACCGGTATCTCGAATCATTTTAGTTTCCCTCAGGCTTAAAAGCTCGTATTGGTTTTCTGGCCCCTTATTTTGATAAGCGCTGGGTATTATTATTTCTTTTAAGAAAATAGCGACTCAGTTTCAAAATCTTGCACTATGTTGCCCATAGTTATGTAACGCATGTTCATTCTGGATTTTTTTTTTCAGTTTCCGTTATCATAGTAGTAACGCTACGGATAATCAGGTAAATATGGAGGATGTTCGATGGAAAGAGATGAAATATTTAAGTGCCTTACCGTTATCAAGTTTTTTCGTCCATCATACGTATCAAGTTTTTTCGTAACTATCACCGCTGCATGTGGTTATTTCTTTTCACTTCGCTTTTAGGATCAAAAGAACCAAGTTCAAGCTAATGAGGCATACGTGAATATCTCCGAACGTCTGATCTTGAGCGAAGAGGAAACGGTAGTTGTTCAATCGTCGCCAGTAAGAAACGCAGTACCAAACAGAAAACATCAAATGGACTCTGAGTATATGTCAATTAAGAGAATGACAACAAAGTTCAAGAAATGGGAAGTCAAACGGGAAAATGTTCAAATCTCGAAAGTCATTGGAAAGGGTGCTTTCTGTCAAGTTGCTAAGGCAACTTTATCAGATATCAGTGGAGTAAGGGGAACAACAACTGTGGCAGTTAAAATGCTGAAAGGTATGTTGTAGAAACAAATCGTAAGAAGACCTATTTTTGATATCGTAATTACAAGACAGATTTATCAGTAAATCAAAAACTTTTAAAAGGAAATACGCAAACTTTGTAAAAAAAAAAAAAAAAAGGCGAAGCAGCTCTTTCATGTTGCATAGTTTATTTATTACTTTCAGGGTGTCATTCCTCAGTCACATAAGAACATTTCGTGGTGAGGACACTATTTGATGCAACTAGGGTTAGTCTCAAACATAAAAATGAATCAGTGAGGAGAATTAATTTGGCCTAACTTTTATACACCTTCTCAAATGCCAGTGTGTAATGGCAACATTTATTGCATTTTTGTTAGAAAATGCCCCAGATAATGACAAGAAAGATCTACTGTCAGAGCTGGATTTGATGAAGAAACTTAAGCCTCATCCTCATGTCATTCAACTGATGGGATGCGTCACTAAAACTGGTAAAAAGATAATGGTAACACTTTATCATTTGTAGAAAGGTGTTCTTTTTCGTCTAGTTACGAGTGTGGGACAAAGATAACATTCTGAGTCCCCATGAGGAATCGAACCTCGGACCGTCGGATTCCGCGCTCCGCTTCTCTACCACTGAGCCACAGAGACTCTTCGGTGAGCAAGGCCCATTACGAAGTTCAAGTATGACAGGGGTTCGATTTCTCATGGGGACTCAGAATTTTTTATTTGTCCCACGCTCGTGACTAGACGAAAAAAAACATCTTTCTGCATTTCTTTACCGAGCTC